TACATGCAAGTATTTTTTATTCATATTAACAAGATGCTCGTAAATTGCTATTGATTTTTAGAGCCTTATTTGCTTGTCAAGTAGTATAGCTCGACTTTAGTCAGACATGAAATCAGATCAAGTGTGTCAATACGTGCTTTGATTTCCGTGCAAGTAGTATAGCTCGGTTATAGTCATCCACTGAATATATTGTTTCGTCGATGTACTAGTACACTAGAGGCAAATATTTTTTATTACACGAAACAATAAGACTCTCGTAAATTGGTTTTGATTCTCTGTGCTTCGTTTGCTTTCCAAGTAGTATTCCTTGATTATGGTCAGACATCGTGTACATTGTCTTGTATTATTTTTATAGTATGAAAACACTTTTTTATTACATAAACAAGATACTCGTGGATTGTTTTCGATACGGTACGCATCGACTATATCCAGATGACTTGTACATTATTTCCTGACTTCTATACAACCATTCGTAGTCAAATATTATAAATATCGTCACGTCGAGTAGTAAGAATTACTTTCATTAAATTGTCGTATTTGCTTCGCAAGTAGTGTAGTACGATTATAGTGATACTTTTGAACTGAAGGTCGCTTGAATAAACTTTTGTAATCTTAAAAACAACGATATTAACAGTAGTAATTGGTAGGGATGAAACCGTAATTACACAGAGCTCGAGTGTAGTTATACGCGGGAAACATACACGCGTACGAGTGCCCTTGCACACACGAGAACAGACAGTGGCAGCGATATTGCCCGTAGCCGCATTATTTTACGATTCGAAATCACGCAAAGCAATTGTTCGAGCGAGGGGGGAGGCCAATTAAAATTTCAGCGCGAAACAGAGAGGCAGCATCGCTTCATTAGCAAAGATACAGAGTTAACCTCGTATACAGTTATAGAGTTTGCAAGTACTCCCCCCCCCCTACCGCCGTTGGTGCTCTCAGGGGGCTCCCACTGCCTCTTATCCAACGGCAAACGGCGTTGCAAATGTGCGGTTATCTTGACTCTGCGTAAGCGCGCATATGCATCCGGCGCTTTGTAGAAAAGGAAGCTCACAGTCCTCCTTGTCGTTACTACGGAGTTTGCTGAATAAAGACAAAACGAGGGGGAAACGAAAAGCCACAGCGACGCCTGTGCTTCGAGCGCAACACGCCAAGAGAATTTCCTACTCTCTTTCTTAGCCACCCAAGACTAAAATCCCAAGAGCGCACTCGAATTTTCATAATCCATCTTCACTTTTTCACTCGTCGAATGCATACGGGCCTTGGCTCGTCGCACGATGCATAATAAACGAGCGTGCGCTCGCAAGAGAAGAAGCTGCTCAACAAGAAGTTCCAAATAAATGCTTGTCGTTCTTATTTGCTTCCACCTTGTTTACCTATCCTTTCACAAGTAGATCCAACGAATGCGATTCTTTCAAAAACAGCTTTTATTCTCTCCAATTAGGAGATGAGCAAAATTTCCTCAATTACATTTATTACCCGTGTACCTGTAATTTTGTTCGTTGAGGGTACGTTTGACGATGCTCTTGGAGATACGTTGAATGGAGTATAGTCGGGGAGGAGCGGAGGAATGTTGAGTTACGTTTTCAAAATATATCCTGGGTAAATCGTAAGGGCCTCGGCTCGAGGAAAGAAAAGGCTCGGGATCAGCCACGAGCGATTCCGTGGTAGGTAGTTGTACAAAAAAAAGAGAAAATAATGGCAGCCTGGCCTTGCTCGACCAACGTCCACCGCATGTATAGACGATACGCGTTCCTCCTCTACTTTTCCTCTGCCTCGTATTATTCACGCTCTCGTAACACACGGGCTTTTTGAAGCTTATACGAAATTCAAGCGCAAAGGCGGGATATTGTACACGAGTATTACGATCCAAGAAATACACGCAAGCTCACTTTGCGAGCAGTCAGTTGTAGTGGTAAAAAAAATACGCTAGGGCGCTCTCTCGTTGGTTGTTTTCAACTCGACAGCTGTATTCTTTCAATTAGGTGTAACCGGGATATCTTTTCTCTCGCGCGCGAGTATATGCAAAACAGGGACCGGAACTAGTTCGCCGATGGTGGAAGTGCCCGTAATGTCGAGGTGTAATTAAAGCGTAGAGCGTAGCGGTGGTCCAGGAGGCTTGGAGCTTTTATCCGTCCCTGGAAAGGAGTGGGCCAGACAATCGCTGAAAGGCGCAAACAAAGCCGTAAATTTTTCTTGCCCACCCCCCCCCCTCTCCCTTTAGCAGGTGATTTTGGTGTTGTCTCTTTTTCGCTTTAATGCTCCAAGAGAACTTTCACCTGCTCTTACTTTACTTCTGGGAAGTGAAATAATTGTCAGTGGTCGGGAAGGCTTCGAAATAATTGTGTATACAATGGGCTCGTGCCCGAGTTGGAATTTTTACGAGATATTTGTTTACTCCTGTTGCAACGAAAGTAGGTTAATGAGATTATGTAACGTACCTATGGAGCCCCAGATGCAATATGTATGAGCAAGAACTAGCGTTTTTTGAGCTTACGTTTCCGACAATTTTACGAAAAGCTGCAGTTTACGTTTTCACTTGTCTCGTGAGTGCTCCTTTTTTTCATACTGCAGGAAAAAAAAAAAGAAAAAAGAAAAAAACATAAATTACGAAAAAATACAAAAGTACCGATGATCTTCAGCAAACGGTTCAAGATTATGAGATCCCAAAAATGAACCGTATGGTTAGCAGAGCGTCGAAAATTGCACCTAATTAAGATTAATTCTAGCCAATAACTGTTTCATGGTACATTAAGCGAGACGCGCGTTTTCTCATTCGCTTCACCCAAGCTGTTCTCTCACTCTTCTCGCTTTCTCGTTTTCTTTGCACCGATGGCTGTGAAAATCGCCGTTATTTCTTTTGTTCATTATCAATGTCTCGTACAAGATAATCGCAAAATGTTATATCGTATTGTTGATTAATTTGGTTTGTTTAATCGGTTTCGTATCTATTTTTCCCTCTGGTATTTTTCCTCGTTCATTCATTTTTCATTAACAACTACACGTGAATTTATCTCCCTCACAAAGCCGTAAATAAAGGTAACAATCCCCACGCTCCAACGTAAATTGTCAGCTAGTTTATGACGATCACAGTTGTGCGGTTTGTACACGAGCTATAATCACCGCAATCAGTTCGGTTCATCAAATCACATGGTGGGAAAATCCAGTATATATTGGTTACCTGTGTGTCATCACGGAGATGGAGTTCCCATGGATTCACAATATTCGCACAAGTAATTAATTAAAAATGATTTTGGCCGGTACAACAATGGGAGCTCTGTTTGTTAAGAATATTATTTGATTCCACGAATTTATGCGATTCAATTCGACGACAGTTGTTACGCGAGTCAACTTTTCAATGGACATTGTCTGCAGTACATGAAATTCAAAACTTTAATTAACTTTTAATATTGAAGGAACACATTTATAACTTTGCTGCCTTCGTGGAGTTACATTAATCAAATATTCAAACTGAAAGCACGTCTAATTGACACGTTAAACTGATAGAGGAGCTCAAATAATAATTATCTCTCCTAATGGAGAGCTTGAATTGAATAATGTAAATCTGTGTGAATTATACAAGCACGCGAATGTTTTTCGAAAAATTTAATCCGACCGTAAACGGCAACAAAGATGAGTCGTGAAAATCCGAGTTCGGTGACTTCTAACGAGGCTACAGGAAAAACAAACTCCTCGTTTATCGGAGAAACTGGGGAAAACTTGTATTCGCAGAAGTTTGTAGAGCCAATGCGCACCTCACCACTCTTGCGAACTTATTCGCTCGCTAGCTTGTAAAAGTGATCACACCTTGTCTGCGTGGGATCCTGATAATTTTGCGACCACGATGAGACTGGGAAAAAATTTTCTCCGCTTGATTTTTTTTTTTTTTTTTTTTTTTTTTTTTAGCACTTTTACTCGATCGAGTTTGCAAGAACTCGAACGAGAAATGCTCGCGTGTATTTTTTATAATTTAAATCTCATCAGATTCGTACGAGCCAGGTTTTATTCTAAATAAATTAAAACTCTTCTCTATACTAGGAATACTTTGATAAATTACTTTTTCTGCATATCCAATAAAACGAGCTCTCACATGATATTTTATTTTTGCGAAATAACTTTTTTTTTTTTTTTTTTTTTTTTTCTAAAGAACGTGTCACGTTCCATCCACAATGACACCACGTATTCTCGTACGAATTTCCGGGACCAAGGGGGAATAAAACGAGGCGCTGCAGTATTAATTCAAGTTACCCGGTCGAAAATGCCACCATCTTCGCCAAGTTTAATCCCCCCCTTGGTGCAAAAGTCCTCTATCTCGGCGTGGGCCCGAGGACTGCCGCTCCTCCTAATAAGCAATATAAAACCGAGTTTTCCGGAGTAAGTCCGAGACTATAGCGCGTAATACGCTTGGGCACGTGTGTATGAGATTCGCGACAATGGACGTCCCCGGCTTTTGAAAGTTGAGCCCTCTCGGCTCACAATGTATGTATATATAGGCTACGTTGCTGCACACGGAAGAAAGACACGCCACACGAGTCCGGGAAATCGATAGTTACGAGAGCAGAGTAGGCCGCGGTTAAGTGGTCGCTGGACCCCAGAGCGTACCCTCCCCCTAAACTTACGACTTTGACGTGCCGTGGCTAAACTTTTTGCTCCAAAGATCCTTCGGAACAGTTTTTTTCTCATCTGCCCACAATGTTGAAACTCCAGCTATCGCCCCCTTTGTAACATCCGTACTTGTTATTATGATTTTCCCATTCTTGCAACTACAAAAGATACATGGGGGCAATTTCACGAAGATATGCCGTAATGTTATATTTTTGACATGCTGCGTCGAGAATTTTGAGAGCCCAGTTTTATGGTCATGTCCAAAAAGCCCGTGCACGTAAAATCTGGGGAAACGCTGATAGCGTCTTCTCTCGATGAAACAAAAATAACGAAAAACGCGTTAGTGTAACGAATGAACTAAAATATAATGCTTGTGTAATTGGGTGTTGCAGGTGAGAATCCAGCGGCTATGCAGCACGGAGCCAGCCAAGGCTTGAGGTCGACGTTCCTGCTGACGATGCTGTTGACGCTGTCGTCTGTGCTGAGGTGACCACGAGGCCTCGACGAGCAGTATCTCACCCTGACCTACTGAATAAAAACCAACCGCCATCGACGAAGTACACCAATCACACGAGCGAATGAGCCGTACTGTTTCGTGCGCTAGTGCACGGTAGATCGGGAGCGGAGGGAATCAACATTATTCTCTCGAGGACGTAAAATTTAGTCGGTTAATCGTTGTTGCGTCAGTAAATTTCTGGTCGCGAAAGGTGAGATGATCATTACGAAGACTAAGAGTTCAGAGAGCATAGGTCCAGTTGGACAAAAAACAAAGAAGCGTCCTGTTTCTCGACGACAGATTTTTTTATTGCCAAATCAGTCTTAAAAGCCTCGTTGAATATCTTTTTCGAAAACAAAATGTTCTTTGCATTATTAAATTTTGCGAAAAGGATGCACAGCTGCGTTAACGAAGCAGCGTACAGGAAGGATCATTGAAAAATAAATATGTATATCCAGAGCCCGAGTGAAAAAATTAAAAAAGTACACGAAGCCCCGCGTGATAATGATACGTATGGGTATAGACTCGCGAGAGAGTATACGCGTGGAAATGTTACGGCCTCTTTCCCCGAGAGGAAAATTAATCTCGAGAGCACAAAGAACACCCACCCAGATACAGAGATGTGTCGTTCTTTTGTAAGCAGCGAGTAGCCGCGCATGAATTAATCTTAAATTTTAACTTTAGCATAAGGATATAAATAACATCTTGTACATACGACGTGGTTGGGGATAAAAATGCATACATATACACGTATAGATGAGTGAAAATGAGAGAGAGTGGGGGAAAAACGAGTATACAGGTGTGCTGCGCGTGGGAAAAAGGCGCTCCTGGTGTTGTAAATATATTACGTAAGCACGTAAGCTCCAGAGTTGCTAGAAAGAAGGTAACTGCAGCCCTGGTTTTTTTTTTTTTTTTTTTTTTTCGCCGATCGCGTTGCCAGAGAATGTACTCACATCTGTAGCGCCAGAAAAATCATCAATTAAGTTTCGACGTTGTCCTTTGGCTGAGCAACAAATTTACCAAAAAAAAACACGTGCTTATCAATTACCGTTTGTATCAGGAAGGTGTCTCATACCACTTTTTGTTTTTTTATCCTGATTCCTAATTGATTTCAAATGTCGAAAAATTACTTTCGTCCTCGAGTTCTTCTGTTTACATTTATAACGCAACATTCGTTGATGTGCAGGATAAAGCTTGTTTCAAATATTCACAAAGAACGACTAAGTACTTAATAATAGATAAAAAAAAGTAGCTTCAACGTGAAGTTTGCATTATTCTCTATTACTTGCAGAAAAAACGTATTCTCTAACAGTCCAATATTGATTGATTAATGCTAAAAGAAATAATTGATTCTTCAAACCACAAATGCCCAAAATATTAATTAATTCTCCTTCTATAATGACGGAAAGTAAAAGAGGACAAGAGAACGACAACAACAACAACAACAAAAGACTTGAGCACGTTTTTGTCACACTCTCGCACGTGCGTTAAGCTGACATACACACGCGTGCGGGTAGAGGGAGCAACATCAGCATATTCTTCCGGCCCACATTCAGTAGCAATGACATCGCCGTACGCTGCTGCCGAGAAAAGCTTGCACGTCGTGGTGCTCCATTTGTTTCTCCCATCCAAAGTCCACGCGCGCTTCTGATGCTCCCTCCAATTAATTATAATGCACGTGTTTTGGTGCCGTTTCTCCCGCTGATGAATGAAAAATAATTGCGAGCGCGCGGCGCGAACCCTGAAATTATTTTGATTGGAGCTTGTTATTTGGATCGCGCGAGCTTTCGCCGGTGGCAAGCGCGGGTTATTGGATTATCTTTGCACTGAAATTTGCGAGGTCTAGTGGTTACGGGGGAATAAATATTATTGAGGTTTACTTATCATTTTTTGGTTTTTTCGTGTACATAATGCGCATTTCCCTGCAACGAAAAGAGTTGGTGTGTTGTACTTGAGCGTTCGTGCGAATGGAAGAAACTGAGAAAAAAAGGGAAAACTAAAAAAAAAAAAAGAAAACAAAAAAATAATAAACTAATAAAGTTAACACCCAATAGGATTACTAAAAATAAAGTGGACGCGAGTCCTGGTATAAACTTATAAATAGTCCGCATCGTCAAGTCTGTAGTCTTAAGGAAAAAAAGGAATTCGTGATTCGTTGGATAAAAAAAAGATGATGATGAAACGCGGTATAGAATATGTAACTAAATAAATAACTGTACAAGCGACGATACGAGGAAGAAAAAGTGTTTAGATCGTCACGCAGAGTTAGGCACGCGGGTTCTGAAACATTTTGCTCGTTTGATTCAGCGAAAAGTTTTGGAAGAGCGTGGCGTGATGCATTTTTCCCCCCGAGAAAATCAACAAGTTAAAAGTTTTCAAATGACAATCTACGTCATATTAACGTAAGATATGATACAAGTAAGTTGGCGATGAGTGTTGGGTGAAAAAATTTTTCCCCCGTACCAGATCGACGTGTCGCAGGAGCCTATATACTTGTAGCATTTGTAACGATCATGCGATCTCTCGTGCACATTGTATCCACTGTTTGTAAAATAATACATTTATATGCTGCATAACATATTACGAGGGTAGGATTTTTTTTAACACTCAGCGCTCCGTTGTTTTTTCATTGTATATTAGGTACTCTTTTCCACGTATCAAAAAAACAAAGAAAAAAGAAGAAAAAAAAATGATTATATTCCTCTTACCCCCTCACCTCAAATTTATAACTCATATTTCATTTGTTAACATAGAATCAAACACTCGCATACCTACTTGTATATCCACGAAATTTAGGCAATAAAGGTTCTATTAGCTAGTAACAGTAAGTTATCGGTAATGAGGGGCGTACAAGTCTGTGTCTGGTGCGTTCAAACCGAGCGAGGAAGCTAGTAAAAAAGAAAAAAATTGTCTAAAGTGTGTGAAAATGCGTCACCAATTGTGAACAGGACGAATCGACGAAAAAAATTAGAGCGGATATTAAGAACACTTTGATGTCAGTAATTGTTGTTTACTGTTTGTAACGATTGAGCCGAAGATACAATAAAACTCATAGTACGCACAGCAATGTTTTCATTCACGACCTCCTAAATGATACTGCCATTTTTTCCACATGACTGAAATTAATTACATTGTTGGCTCTTTGAAAAAAAAAAAAAAAAAAAAAAACGCAATACGAAATGCATCTCATTAGGTAGGGAATTTTTGTAAAATTTAGAGTTAGCCGGAATCCCTACGAAATAATCCATAAAAGAAACAAATACGCACCGGGGTAAAACCGTTCACGGCGACTCGTGCACGCCCCGAGCATCTCGCAAATCCACGGCTGCAAAGCCCGAAAATCGAAACGAAATTTCCGAGGCCACGGGAATAAAGATTGGTACGAAAATACACAGGCGGATCGAGACTTTGAACGGCGCGATCAATGCGAATGGTATTGCACGCGCATGTACACGGAGGTCTCGTATCGCCGATCGGAAAACGCGATTTGACGCTTTGCAGCATACTATCTATCGCTTTTGGATGAAACTCTGCTCTTGACTTTGTTGCATCAAATCCGTTGCGGCAGAAAGGACCGATACTCCTATACTTCATTTATTAGGATATCCTATACCACACGAATAATATCACGCGTCGAGTCAAAGTGGCAGGCCAATGGCTTTGAAATAACACCAGCTGTGTTTTTAGCTAAACCCGCAATTACATGTGATTCCTTCCCCTATATGTTTCCGTTTCAACTCACAGAATCCAGGCTAATTTCAACGAGAGATTTTTTTTTTTTAAGCACCTACGTCTTTTTGCTTTGTATCCCGTAGCGTTGAGCTTTCGCGTTTTTTTTTATACCTTTCCTGTTTGCCTTTCGTGCGTACGACAGATAGACCCTCGACTCTGTGCACACATGCCGGTGAAGAGGACAGAGGGAATCAGACGTAATTCTTGTTAATTTACAGCGTTGGACGATTTTTTTTTTTTTTTTTTTTTGTTTTTCATCCTCACTTTACATAATTTGAAGGTTGACGTGCGTGTCATTTTTTATTCATTTCCAAGCCCCATCTGCTCTGTCGCAACTTTCTTTCCCTCCATCTCTTTATTTTTTTTAATTTTTATTTTTCTTGAGAGGAAAAACGTGCGGATTTAATACTAGTAAAATCTCTTTCGAGCAAAACTTTTGTTTATAGCGCTGAGCCGCATTCATTTGTCTGAGTGCCTCGTTTGAAGCCTCGAGTGAAGGATTACTCGCGAATTCGCGTGGAGTGTGCATTTTAGCGATACAATCAAACACATTCCTCGATGCCTCCGTGGCGGAGAACAACGTTTCGCAATGATTTGGCTTTTAATTTCACGGGGAGTGAGTGAAAATCGTAAAAATGTATGGAAAAACACAATCCCCGACACAAAGTGGTCTCCAAGCTCCCGAAAGATCTTCGATTTGTTTGAAAATAAAAACTCCGAGCTTTAGAACGGAATGCCAACAAAGACACACGTAATGGATGCTTAAACCGCAAAGCCGTAAAGTCATGCATCCTCGTTGCCCTCGTGGCGTCACGTGCAAACAACACTTTTCGAGTGAAAATCAATAACCCCGTTAAACTGCACGGACCGCATCTTTCGGTAGAGCCGATCACCTTTCCCCGACCGAAAGTAGCGCTGGTACACACGCGAGCTTGGAGCCGAAAGACACGGGGCGCGTCTCAAACGAGCCACAACAGCGAGGCCGGGTGGTGCCGGTCAAAGGGTCAACCTGTTAACAAACACGTCCACCGTCAAGTAGGCACCCAAATGTTGTGTGTGTGTGTGTAGGTCGAACGACCCAAGAGAGAAGAGAGAGATTGTGGGGGGCATGTGTACACAATCCTCGGCCCCGGCCGTTTGATGAAGTAATGGACATTCTCTGTCGGCGCGCTCGGATCGGCTGTTTCACCCGATCCGGTTCGAAACTAGCCAACGCCACCTCCGTCTCCCTTACGCCCCTCTGCCTCTCGGTGCAAATACACAACGGACAGTAGTGCCCGGTACTAATGACGGCCCGGATAAACTTCGCTCGGGCTCCAGAAGGAGCTCCTCCGCCGAACCGATCGATCGCCCCCTCCCCGCACGTTGTGCTGGTTTGATTTATCCGATTGAGCGCGGAGCTTTGCAGGCATACAGGGCACCGGTGCTGCTACCCGCGATGATTGAAGGGCGCACTCAGGTGGGGCTCCTCCTGTCCTCGTTCTTACAGGCCACCGTATTTATTGAGCTCTGGGAGGGGGGGGGGGGGGATTTATCACGTGGACCCGCGAGCGCCGCGATATATTTCAGACGGATGAGCTGCTCGTTACGGTCCCTCTCGCGATCGGAGATTGTTTCTGGGATTCCGTGGGATACTCGTGAGCGGGTGATTGATCTCGGCGCATCCACGATTGCGAGCTCTGGTGGTGGAAATTGACTCGGTGCTCGTTATTAATTATCTGTTTGATTTTCGTTACGTTTTAATGGGTTTTCTTTTAATACGTCTTTTTATTAATTTCTACCTGAATCCACAAAGAAATATCACTGCGATTGATATGCTTTGTACTGTTTCGTAGGTAACTTCACTTGCGATTCTTGGGCTTTTGTCGCATGCATGGGATTTGGCAAAAAGTTTTATTAAATTTTCAACCATGGAATCTTTTCGAGAGAAAGATCAATGGAAATTCCTTGTATTTATCTCTTTTTGCGTTTCCTCGCACTATTAACTCCAACTTTTTATTGGACGACGAGGAGGACTAGATATAAAAATCTTCAAGACTTTTTACTTATTTTTTCAAACGTTTGATCCGATCGAAACGAAAATGCTTTTTTTTTCTCTTCAATTTGATGCATCTCACTGAGGTACCAATGACATGCTGTCAAAAGAACACGTGATCATTTCGGAGCGTAAACACCGATGAGAACAACGAGTTCGTATTATTAGCGGGATCCCCTGTATTCTGTAACTCTGTTGAAAAAGAAAGACACGATACATGCCTATTCCTCGAAATCGAAAAAAAAAAAAAAAAAAGACACTCATTCCCCTCCTGCATACCAACCGTCACCGTTTAATCGGACTTTAAGGACCCCCTGTTCCTTCTCGACTGCTGGCTACTCTTTTTTTTTTCCTCAAACCAACGTACCTCACCCCCGTCTCTCTTTCCCTCGCTCGTGCCGTTTTCCATCCCCCTCGGCCTCTTACGCTCGCTACCCTCGACTCGTACGACACGGGCCTCTTAGTTTGGGCGCTGCTCTCTCTTTCCCCATTACGCAGCAGTAGCCGCGAGGCTTCTTCTTTTATCTTTTAACTTCCACTCTTGTGTACGGCTGCTCTCGACTTAATCACCTTTGTGGGCTCGAGCGCGCACTCGTGAGTTTTTCTTTGACGTATCATCACTCGGTGGCTTTTCATGAAGGTTTTTTTACACATCTACACACCGATAAAGCGCTTAAAAAAGCCTTGCACGCACACTTGGGTCATATTTTCATACGACTGAAAAGCTTGTGAAAAAAAAAAAAAAAAAAAAAAACTGCTCTTTCACTTTTTTCAGATATAGTATTGGTAAAAAGAACGAAAATTATCGCAAGAGCGAGAAAAAAAAGATCCACGAGTTTAATCTCCATTTCAAAGCTTTTCTTCCCTTAGGAGGCTCGTCTTTATTACGCAACAAACCAACCTCGCAGCTGCAGGCAGTTTAGAGACGCTCGAGCGCACTTGCGATAGGCAACGGCAGTACACCGTTTGGAGCTTCTTATCTAAATAGGGGCGAACTTTGGGTGGACGACGAGAGAGAAAGGAGCCAGTGGGTAAGTGTCAGAGAGCCGATACTCGGGTACCTGTCAGCGTCATCGATAAAACGTACACCACGTACGGCCCACACGACTCGCCATTTGTGGCTGTGATTTTCCACCCATTATGGAATTTCAATCGAAACGATCCTCCCATTCATCCGAGCTAATATCATTCAATTTGTGGTCGGCTATATCAATGTTTGACTTCCAGTGGATTTGTCCCGACCACCACCAAATCGGAGTGTAAATAATTTATGATGTGGAATCGTCAAGCACTGACGAGTGATCGAAATCTCACCCGTCCCGACATTTCCAACTCAGTGTCTCGATATATCGCGCAAATAACACGACATAGTGAAAAAATGTGCAGAAACGTGATGTTGGAAAATAATTTGGCGTGAATGTCCTCGATGCTTAGGCCTCTCGCACCCCAAGCGCAGCAATGAGCCCAAACCGAGCAGTCGGCTCTCGAAACTACAACCCCCTGGCCGTTAGCTCCCTCCCTCTCCGCTGTTGGAGCGAAAGGACGTGCGTGCACGTATCGAGTGTAAGCGCGCGGGAGGAGGACGCCACGCAATCTCATTAAAAGTAAATCGAGGCCGCCTACTGCACCGGAGACGAATTTCTAATTGCGCGCCGACTCCCGCGGAGGGAGGCGCGAATAACTCTGACGTTGTTATTAATGGATTGTTTCGAGTGGTGCCGTCGCTGGTGCTGTCGGGCGCTGCGATGTATACGGATGTTTGACTTTTGCAGATGAGAGTTTTAACTCGGGCCGAGCGGTGCGAAGGAGCGGGCATAGAGGCAAGCTCGACAAGAGTGGCAAGTTTTGCAATTTCATTACAATTTATGAACGGCGATTTTTTCGTGGCCTCGATTTCTATTTTTTAGACTCGTTCTCCAGGGAGTTATGTTTACACGGGGATCGAAAAAATTTTAATCATCGTCACATTCGCAGTGTACGTCTCATCGTGATGTCGTGTTCTCTCAAAATATGAAAAATTATACTATCAGAAGCAACGGTACGACATCCAGTCAATTACTCCTTACTATTGCTTCTTACCCGTGACGTTTGAAATTTTCTTTTAGCAAATTTGTCGTATACACGGGGAGGTTTCCACGAGTTAATGTAGCGGTGATTAGCACCAACTTCAAACCGCTGTCGGGAAAAACTTGTAGGTTATAATCTTCTCGGGATGAAAATTCGTAGTTACAGTTGATCAACAATTGTCAAGTTGTGGTGAATTGAAAAAAAAAAAAAAAAAAAAAAATAGAAAATGGAGCAAGAGGCAGTGGAGAACGAGGAAGAGGAGTACGGAATGCACTTTGGCAAGCGGGACATTTACCGAGTCGGTACGAACATGTTGATGCTTACAAGTAACTCTTCGGTTGTCTATGAACGATAGTATTGGCGATACCTTAGAAAAAATGCCCTTTTTTTTTAAAGTTCATAGAGCAGTACAACCATCCCCTCTGGCCCATATTACAAGCTCCTTTATTTATTACGCCACTGGCCGCGAACTAGAATCTGAAAGCATGCATTTGATCGCTTTTCCTCCAAAAATCTTCTCTCGGCTAAATCGCAAGGCTAACCACGCGCAATATCGACTCTTCCCCCCTCGGCAAAGTCTTTGATGCAATTACTTTCGGTCAGTGGCTAAAAAAAAAAAATAAAAATAAAAATAAAAAGAAAAAGAACTGGTCTCGCTCAAAAGAGCCCTCGCACGTGTCGAGGGGATTCTTTCGATACCAACGGGACAGACATCATCGACATACATACAAACAGAATCGTGATCAGAGTTCTCACTCTTTCTCTTTCTCTCGGTGGACGGCACAAAGGTTTCTTCGATGATCCTGGGACAGGACCATTCGACGAGTACCAACCACCGTTGGGATCGTTGCGCTCGAGCGTGGCCCAGGGAAAGCAGATGGCTTACGGCGCGCGGACAAATCTCTTCGACGCGGAAGTCAAGCGGATCTTTCAGGGCGAAGCGCTGCCCGAGCTCGGCCGGCCGCCCAACAAAACGAAAGCCAAGGTGATGCCCAATACATATCCACTCGGATACACCTACTTTTCCTCGACTGTTCTTTATATGTATTTCCGTATCTGAGCACACCGGCCCCAAGCTCATGTCCTCCACCTCCCATCTACTCTATACGCTCGATGACTCGTCTCATGTCGCGCTCGACGTTTTCATCCCACTGAAAAGAGAAAAAAAAGAGAAAATGAAGAAACACATGGTGAAACTTTAGCGCAAAGAGCTGGGCGTCATAATTCCACCGGCCGCCCCAAAGTGGCACTCCACCCCGGGGGACGCTTACGGCTGTTTCGACAAGCACCCGCAGCGCTTTGATCCCGAAGTGCGGCCGCCAATTGAGGTGGCCAAGGAGAAAAGATGCCTGCCGAATATGATGATACAGCCCGGTCGACGGGGCGGCCCGGGTTTCCTCGACATCTGCATCAACCCCTACCTGCCCATGTATCTGCACTGCGAGCCCTACGACCCGGAAGACCTCCTCGTGCCGTCCAAGGGCCCCAAAGGCACGTAGATTTAATGTAAATGCATCGCCCCGTGGTTGAGCGTGTGCTTTTGTCTCGCAGATGTCAAGCCGAAGCGCGAATTCGTGAGCCAGTGCAAGCCCGCCGAGTACTTTACCGAGAACCCCTACAGGCGGCTCGCCCAGGCTCGACCTTCGGAGAAATCCGGGAGGAAAAACAAGCAAGTCGCGGCCCCCGACCGGCCGTGCTTCTACCGGTACTTTCCTTCGGCCCCTCTGGGTCCGTTCAACGGCTGCTTCTCGAGGTTCCCGCTCTACCTGCCGAACCCACCCCCGCGCGAAAAGAGAAAAAAGAGGGGCCAGCGACCGCTACCACCGATCCGGCCCGTGGGGGGACCACCCGTCAGGAGCAAGTACACCACGAGCGTGATAGACCTCGTCACCAGGATCGCTTGTAATGCTAATAACTTTGCCGAGTACCGGGAGCAGGTGTACCCCTTGAAGCGAGACTTGGGTGGGCGTTGAAGCTCGGATGGTTTTTCATTGTGCTCGTTTACGGTCTTTTTGGGACAGGTTGGACGCCTGTAATTATACAGATTACGCGGCTGACCTTTTTTTTTTTTTTCTTCTCCTTCGTGCTCGTGGTAATTTACCGCCTGCTCGGCAATACCGGCCGTGTCTTTCTCTCCCTCTCTCTCTGGGCTCTATTTTATTGTTTTGGTTATCTGCCCGCCGCTGAGATAGGAAAAAAAAAAAACAGCAAAGTAAAGTAAACCAACAGAAAAAAAAACAACAAATTTAGGTCACGGCTTGATTTCTCGGCAATATAGGAGCGGCAATGGCCCAGAATTTCCGAGCTCTGAAATAAAAAACAGAAAAAAAAAAAAACGGGTATCCAGAGCTGGGAGCGAAAAAAGTACGCGCGAAATGAGGAGAAGGAGGAAAGTCGGGGTACCTTTTTATTTTTCGTTCGCATCAGAGGGAAAATAAACGCGTTTGCGAGCTTCGGAGTGTTGGGGGAGAGGCGCAACACCGAATTTCGCGGTGCGTTTCAAATTCGCCGATGGGCTATTATTTCGATAGCAGCTACAGGAGGACTGGGAAAAGGTAGTTAGCAGCGGAAGCGTTACACGTTGCTGCATTTGTAATAGACCGGGAAAACGCTTTCTCCTCGTCTCTTTGCGCCTTTAACTGCCCTGCGTTCGCTGTCGCGTAAATTACGTTTGCTCGCGCGACCGTTTATACATCAACTGGCTGTATCGTATTGCCCCTTTTTTTTTTCTCTCTTTCGCACGATTGCATTTCAGCCTCGTCAGAGCTCGTGCGCCACTTTTTATACGCTATCTCCGTTTAGTAATAGGAACTTTTTTCGTTTCATTAAAAGCTCGCGCGTGCAAGCTCTTAATTACGACCGCTGGGCACTTTAAAAAGATTAACGCGTTAATTGCTTTTTATAATACGTGCCATTTACGTACAAACAGCCACAACCGCACTCTCGCGCGTACTCGCAATCATATGCTTGGCTCGGGATGTTTTATTTATGAGTACCGTGAATATTCGCCGACTCTTAGTGACGTAATTTTGTCAATTTCAATTGGCGAGTGTTCACTGTCAATCGGTGAAATTGGCAAAAAATTTTTCGAAACAAATCGATGCGCTCGAAAAAAGGTAAAAACGCGGTATAGGCAACCAACGCTTTTACAGCCGACAATTAAATCGATGGTAGTCGCACGTAGCTATAGACCTCAGCATCGGACGCATATATATATACGTGCACTCTAATGAAATTCTAACGCAAATTCCGTAGCGAGAATAGAGCGGTACTGCAGGTGGACTCTTAGCGATCAAATACTCCCGGGTAATATCAAACCGTAAATGGATTGCCAATCCGCTTTATCCCCTCCGACTATTGTATTATTGCATATGGTATTATATACGTTACCTGAAATAAAACGTTGATTCATTAAATTTCTCCCGAGTTCCATTAATTTCTCAGACAATACTTTCCGTGAATCTAACAGCGCGACTGCAGTGTTTCATAACTGACCTTTTTTTTTTTTTTTTTAAATTTCCTTTCATGACTGCGTCGTTGAAATTCCCTTCGCAAATTGAATCCGATCGTCCGATTGAATACGACCTCTAGCGTTATTAATTAGTTTTCCGCTCTCGAGCGATTCCAATACGCAAAACGATAGAGGATGGAGCAAGGGGTAGGCTACAATCGGAATGCCTCTTTTTTTTTTTTTTCCCGCGCGACAATGTCGAGTGCTTTCGGAGCTACGGCGGCGCCGCAAGACCCCCGCGCGAGCAAAGATGATTTTATATATTCCCTCCCTGCGAAATTATTCGCTCTTCTCTACCGGAGCTGCCCGCTGTTTTTCTTTAATCAAATGCACGGCGTGCTTAATTAAAAACCTCATCGCAAGCTCCAACGAGTGCTGGAGCCAGACGCATTTTTTTTTCCACTCGCTCCCTCTCGGTACGGATAATTTTATGCTCGCTTCTTCTGAATAATTATTGACCATCCACTGGCCCGAATTTATTTTGCTGCGTCCCCTGGAGCACTCGCGCACGTCGAAAGCTCAGGGAAAAAAAAGCGAGGACTCTCTTGACGTTTTTAATGCCGAGTGCAAGTTTTGCGAGCACAAGTGTCTGCTGGTGAACTCTTTAATACCTTTGAATGTACAGCGGCGTCAAGGGTAAAAGTGAATTTTGATTTTTCACGGTAAATTTTGTACAAGATTGCTCCCGAAAATAGAGAGAATGCATATAATTGTACGAATGTACGGATATGTTGTGTATAAATTAGGAGCTCCTAAATAATTGTTTCAAAAAGACGTCGAGGACCCAGACACACCGTAAAGTCGATACGTGGATTCTCAAGACAAGAGAGCGATTGAAAAGCACCCGCGTAATTTTGTGGTGAGCCCCGTTGTCGAGAGAACATACACAAAGCGGTCTTTCTTTCCTCGGTGGTTCAACAAGGATGTATGACACCACGTGCGGGGGCTCGAAGATTTATTCCAGAGCCAAGGCGGCCCATTACTCAGTGACGTGTCGTTGCGGCCCGTATTAAACATTCCGGGCATTGCGGTCGCGCGCCGAGCATTCGCTCTTAACTTGCTTGCACCCCCACCACCTCCCCTTAGACGGCGAAGAATTCGAGGCGTGAGTACAGTGAAGCTCGTCGCGAGGGACGGCCTCTTTCGCTGCTGCTGCCTCGTTTATGTATCGGCTGTTCAGGAAATATGGGGCTCGAAACGCCACGCATGCAAATCTGCATGCATCTATGTACTATATGTGGCTCGGGTGGGTCGTAGGTGTATACATGTGAGGTCGTTAGTTTGGTGCTTAAAAGCACCTTTCGGCGTTTTTAAACGTATTTTTAGCAAATACTGTCATATTATTCAGAGCTGAGATAAATTTAAAAGACGAACTTGACATTACTTATTTTTCATCCGGTTACTCTTGTAAGCGTGCCCCTTTTTTAAGGATGGAAATTGGGTGGATTTCATCGGGTAAGACAGGAAAAGCTGAAGACAACAAGTACCAACGGAACATGAGTTCTTATGTCCAAACGATGTGCACGCACCAGCGTTTCTTTCCAATTTGGTCCCCACTATCTCATGACTTATCGGAGATTTGAACATACATATTTTAAATGACGATCGAATAATTTTTTTCAGCGAGATAATAAAAACGTGGGAGACTGCATTACATATACGTGTGCCAAAACCGCAGCGTTATTCTACTTTCGTTAAAAGGGATTGAAAATGAAAAATTTTGTAATCGGTGGTCTGACAAAACGCTGACTCGTACTACTGAAAAAAGAAATCCGTGTACGGTAGCTCGAAATTTGAAAGAGTAAGAATGTAATGGTGGCAAAATAAGGTGGTGTTAAAGGGAGAAAATGGTCACACAGAGTAACAGGATTGCACGAGGAAATTTCATTGTGAGGGAATGACCCGAGGAAAGCCAGTCCAAATAGCGGCTCTGACAAACTCTTCGAGGCGTCGCTGCTTTTCCAGCTTTTTCCTCGACCTAAAAAAGTGAGAAACAGTAAGGCAGAGGAAATCACGAGACTCGTGAAAATAAAGGGAGCTCCTTTTGTACGTTTGCCACGTGAGACCCGATTAGAAAATCGAGACCAAGGAGAGCGGGAAAGAAGAGGAGCTTAGGTAAGCCTGATGTGTGCATTACGAGTTCAAAAGCGCGTGTGCTTTCCCGCAAAGAGCCGAGATAGAGGATGAATTATTCAGCTTTGAGGTTTTGAGACACCTTAACTGCATGCATTTTTTACATTAAAGGACGGTACATTCTTCGTATCTTCGTAGAGTGAATAACATTTTAAATGTTTATCCTAATGTACCTTTGCACGCGAAAGGTGCAAGAGTTTAAACTTTTAGACTTAGGACTTGTGCTGTTAAATATAAAAGTACGAATAATGAGGTTGACCAAAGTAACGTAAAGTTTAATCATTCCAACCAAAGGAAATTAAATTACGATGGAACGAAAGCTGAGATTCCAAAAATACTCTAAGGATACATTTAGACAAATTACTTTTGCAAGATTGTTAAAGCGAATCTGTAAGGCAGTGACGAAGAAAAGGTAAAATAAACCATAGTTCACACAGTTGAGCATTTTTATTCATCCATCAGTTTTCCGATTAAAGTAAATCTACTTTTTGCTGAGGTAAAATAATAAACTAACGGATAAAGCCTCAAATGATAATTTCTGTAATCTTTTAAAGTACACGTAGAAAGGAGGACCAAAATACGCAAAACTCCATCTCCAGAAGGTAAATGATTAATCGTTATTGGATGATCGACGTGCGACAGTTCCAGGAAACATTGGACAATGAAATTACATAAACTGAAGGTTTAACATGAATAAAAGATCGGTTCGCAAGCGGTGCCGAAGATGTTACATGCAACGGGGATTATCGATTTATGCGCACGGATTGAATTTGTATGCAGAGTACTCGGTTTCTTCTACAACCAATTACCCGGAAACCCTCCGATACCTACGCCACTTGGTATGAAAATTACTAGTGATTGTCGATGAAAATTCCGTTTCAATCTCACGCGGAGCTAAAAAAAAAAAAAAAAAAAAAACAAATCCACGGAAAACCGGAATAATCTTTGGCCAGCAAGACTGACAATGAGAGAATTAAGCAGGGCAAGAAATGAAAAACGGTCCAAGAGCTAAAATGAAAAAAAAAAGATCGGCTGGCAGAGAAAGAGTGGCACGGAGCCAGAAAGGGACACGCAGCTGAGGTCTTTCACTACAGTGTATCCCTGCACTTGAAACTTGAGCCCAGCCAGGAACGGTATAGCCTCCAAATGGGCCACGCCGGAGGAACTCTCGCGAAATATACTTATTGAATGGCCCCGAGATTTTCCGCTCGAACGCTGGGCCACGACTCGCTTGTGAGTTAAACGACCTACAACGTGTTTCGTGAGCCAAATGATGCTCACTGTTTGTTTATTCTCTTGCATTCTTTGATCTTAATTGGAAAAACAAAC